GCAGCGGCGGCAGTTGACTCCCAAGCCGCCGTCTGATTTTCCGCCGAGTCATGGACCAGATCCTCCGGATAAGGCCCAAGCTCCGTCAGGAACCTCTCTGGGTCCATCAGTCGCCTGGGACGGAACCATCTAGCCTTGACTATGCGCACTATAGCATATAAATGGAAGCTAATCATAAAAATTGCCTGATTGCAAGTTAATAAAGAATTATTACGGGAAAAGGATGCATGCCATTTTGAAAGGAATAAAACAATCCTTGAATAAATCATATTTTGGGCAATGGAGATCTGGGGTGGAATCCCCCATCTACCTGAGTTAGAAGTACAATTGCTGCCTTTGCTCTGTCACAAAGAAGAGATGTTTCCACAGGTGCCTTCTGTGACATTTCATTCTCTAAGAATTGAGATGAAAAAGGGATAATTACAGATTTTAAAAAAAACACCAAGAGCAAAGTTAAATACAAAGGCCGTTCTTGCACACAGGGATAAAATACTATTGAAAAAGAAACGTGCATGAAAGTATCTTGGGAGTGTAAAGTCAGAATCAGAATCAGAATAATAGAGCTGGAAGGGATCTTGGAGGTCTTCTAGTCCAACCCCCTGCTCAAGCAGGAGACCCTATACCATTTAAGTCTGGTTGTCCAGTCTCTTCTTAAAAACCCGCAGTGACAAAGCAACCACAACTTCTGAAGGGAAACTGTTCCACTAGTTAATTGTCCTCACTGTTAGGAAGTTTCTGCTTAATTCCAGATTGCCTCTCTCCTTAATTAGTTTCCATCCATTGTTTCTTATCTTGCCTTCTGGTGCTTTGGAAAATAAATTGACCCCCTCCTCTTTGTGGCAGCCCCTCAAATACTAGAATACTGCTGTCATGTCACCCCTAGTCCTTTTTTTCCTCTAAACTAGCCATACCCAAATCCTGCAACCGGTTCTTCATATGTTTTAGTTTCCAGGCCTTTAATTATCTTAGCTGCTTTCTCTGCACTTTTTCCCAAAGTCTCAACACCTTTTTTTGTAGTGTGATGACCAAAACTGGGTGCAATATTCCAGGAGAACTTTCAGTCTGGCTCTAGATAGAAGGAAACCCTGACTCCGTTTTCCTACTTTGGCTTCTGCATTCCCGTTACTGGAAGGGCTGGAGCCAGAGTGAGACCAGCTGGCAAGACTGAATCTGACCTTGCTATAACATATCACCCCCTCCTCTGGAATTTCCCCTCTTCCCCCCCCCCNTTTTTTTTTTTTGCATAAACAAGTTCTCCTCCACAAGTCCTTCTCCCCACCATCAGATTTCTTTCTT